GTGTCCATCCCACTGCGGGGTGCGGGGAGCCACCGTCTGCCTTTGGGCCGCGCCATCCCGCGGCTGGCTCAGACCGGAGAGCTTGGGAGCCGCGTAGCGGCTGGGTCTGGGGTCGAGGGCGCGTAAGACGGGCTTTCCCCGCGCAGCACGGACGTTCTGGCGCGTATCCACCGCCTGTCTTTTACGCGAGCCGAGCGACGGGCCCTGCGCTCTCCGCAGGTCCGCGCATCCTGCGCTCCCAGCCCACGGCTGCTTCGCTTTACCCAGTAGTAGCTGATGAATGCGGTGGAGGTAAGCAAGCAAGAAGAACTACCGCAGAGTGTTCATGGAGCTGTCCGGGCACATCTAGGACGAAACGAGGGTGTTGGTCCCGCTACCCGCGTGCGGAATTGTCATGTAGGGCCTGAAGCCCGCAGTGAGGTTGCTCAAGTGGGCTTTCTGTGCCAATCGCTGGTAACTGTGTAAACGGTGAAAAAGCCAAGAGTTCACCTCTTAGCACCTGTATCTTTTCATAACCAAGTATAGCTCCCTCCAGGTGCAACTTGGCAACCACCGGCAGTCGCCATACCATTTTTAATACTCTTCGGCCAGTTGTAAACCTGAGTATGAACTTACTATCCAGTCTGATAGTAACATAGTGCACTAGTGCCCAGCTTTATGTGGGTAACTTTGTATTTCTCTGTAATAGAGATTGATTAAGGAAGGGTAAAGAGAGATTCGAAGCTCTGTTTAAACACTGATTGTACCATGATACTCATTGACAGCATTTATGCACTCCACTGTGTGTTAAAGTGTTTTTACTTTACAGAGTATGAAGCTTCTTAAGCTTTATTGACAGGCGTGTTTTGCCAATTCTGTCTCTTCATTGGGGAACTGCTGAACAGTTGAGGTGCTGTTTTGAGTGGTCTACAGATCTGTAGGAAAACAGTCTCAGGTCATAAAGAAAATGGCAAATTATGTGCATTAGTAGATGTTTTCTGTGAGCAGATCATTGCTTGTTAGTGTGCTCTGTAGAGTGAGGCAATACTGTACATATCGTGACTGAGCCACTGGACATACATACACACTTGCACTGCTGTATGTCAAAATGAATTAATGGCAGAAGCCTGCAGTTACACAGAGCTCAGTGGGAGTGATGGAGAGGATCTGTGATGGGGAGGACTTGCTGCTTTTACCAGTAGTTGGCCAGCTTTTGACATGGCTCATCCTGAATACATTAAGAGACCTTGGAGTATTTCCAGGAAGGGTGTAGTGAGGAGTGCAGAACTGATGCTTTGTTTTGTCATGGGGAGTAGAAGTTGTGTAGCACTGATTCTTTTTCCTACTTTTTTCCAATCATCTCCCTTCTCCCACCACCCTGCTGCTGTTGGTGTATTTTGAACCATATTCTGCCTTATGTGGTGTGCTTGCCTTTTTTTTTTTTTTTTTTTTTTCCCCCCCCTTGGGGGAGAGTGGTTGTTAGTATAATGAAGATGGAGGAGGGTGGTTCTTACAGTGACTTTGAAGCAGAGGGAAGTGAGGCAATGGCAGTGTGATCACTGAAATTAAGTTCTTGCATAACAGTACCAACTTTGTATTTACACTGCTAGCTTGGCCATCATATGCAAATGCAGTAAAGTCAGGTGAACTGAGTATTCCAGGACAAAATTTTCTGTGTGCACTAGTTGTAAGTTTAATACAAGTTTACTGTACCTGCATGTGCTGCTGAGCTTTTATTAATTTTTATTTCATACTTATGTTAAACACTTGGTTTTAGGTAGCATTTAAGTATGGAAAGGAGCATTTCAGGAGGCAGAGAACAAAACTTTAAAGCCATTATAAATGTAACTAGAAAGCTTGAGGAAGTGACCTTTAGCAATGTGGATGGTATTAAGTGAATGAGACATCTGTCCAACCTAAATATCTGCAGCAGATCACATCAAGGCAGAGAACTAGTTATTTAAAGGGCTTCAGTTAAAAAGCCAAACCTAATGAACTCAATTACATTAATTAAACATATTTTTCCTGATATCTTTGGGTAGGTTGTATTTTTAACTACTATATTTCTTTGAATAGCTGTTCCTAGGCAAAGGCTGAATATAATGTTGTTGTTGTTGTTTAGGTTGATAGTCTCAAGATAATATCTGCAGAGCTGTATTTTCAGATGTGACAGTATATGATACTACCAAACATGCATTTCTTGTCGGACACAAAAGCAATGGAGACCTTTATTCCCATTAGTGTTTTGTTTTTTAAAGACAAAACTCAGTATTTATTCTGTGAAATCTGTAATACTTTAAATATCTGTGTGCTTTTTTTTTTCCTATCTGTATTATTTTCAAAAAGGAATTTAATTTTTGTTGACAGGTCAGATTGTGGTATATTTTTGTTGTTGTTTTTTTTCCAAGTGGGGTAACCTGAAACTAGAGAGAACTTTGAAAATTAAACTTAGATCTTTTGATGATGGTAAGATGAAAATCAAAAATACAGAAAACCAAAATTTACTTATAAAGGAAATACTCCTTTAACTTACTGACGAACTGAGGAATAAAAATTGTTTTACAATATGCATCAGCTTCTTCATGTGTGTCTCACTTTTTCATCTTCTGATGAGTAACATTAGTAAACAGCTACATTTATGCTGGCCAGGACCATCACTTTACGGATGGAGTGGAGGAGGGAAGTGTTAATCTGTGATTCCATCCAGCAAGGAATTTGCAGTGTTTATTTCAAAGACTAAATGTTTTACAAAGGTTACCCTCTGTTAAACACTTCTATCTAATGTTGCTTAGCAAAGAGAAGTTAAAAGTTAAGTGGCCTTCTTTCCCACCATTTTCTTTTACTTTGCCTGCTTGCTAAGTCTGCTCATGCAAAATTCATTAGTCTGGACCAACTTTTGAAATTCCATCTGTCTCTTTTATGTGTAAATTGTATGCTCTGTCATGCTGATCTGGTCTGAGCTAGTCACTGGAATTGCCAGTTGTAGTTACTCAGTAATTAGTTTGTGATCCTCTTCATTTTTAAAAGGCAATTTCGTGGATCATAATTGTTTTCTCTTTAAAGCTGCATTAATAACAAGATTAACAAAATGGTTAAACAGTTCTTGCTTCTTGCAGTAGGAACATATTATTAGAAACCAATTTAATTTTCTTTTGCAATGTGTTTAATAATTCTGTATTCTTTATAAAATATATGGTATTTATTGTGTATACTGGATTGCTGAAAGTCTTAATATTTCACCTGTTAACAAGAACCTCCCCCCCAATTATTCTGCAGTTATAATTTTTACTGGTTGTTTTGTGGACTGGTGTTTTGCATCATATCCTGAAGTTATGTCACTGGCTTTATTAATTCAGTAATATCCGTTAAATTTTTTTCTTAAGGTTTGAAAGATCATAACATATGCTTTATGCATAATTTAATTTTCTTGCATGTAATTTTGAGAAAAAATCCATGCTAATTTTTTTTTGTACTCGATCTGAATTCTGTCTCATGCAGTGCAACAATTTATATTACCCCCATTCTGTTTTTCTTTAGCATAGAGTATTTTGGAATTTCTCCTAAGGAACAGCAAGAGTTGATGAAGAACATGTGTAGTTTATTGGGACCTTTCATGAGCGTGTTCTCTGTGATTCTCCCCCCACACGCCCGCCTTTTCCTGTCTCTACAAACACGGTATCAGTCTGTAAGACATAACACGACTATTATAGGGGACCTTTAGGAGCCTGGTGAAGCAACATTAATCTTTAAGTCCCTTCAGCTGAATGTGAAGAGCATGGCTAAAAACTGTCTGGCAGTACATGCAGCAGAATCACCAGCTTGCACTAGAAGAATCTACAAGCTGCATACATCTCAAAGTCTATGACCTGGCTGCCCTAGCTCTAGAACAGAAATGTGGCACCTTTGTGGATACTCTTACATAGTGGAATTTTAGCTTGTTTTTTTCCCTTTTAACTAAGTATTTATCTTGGTTTATTTGCAGATTGGAAATAATTATTTCCAGAAAACTTTGCTCTACAATTACAAATATTCCATTAGGTTATTTCAGTGACAGAGAAATGTGATGGGATTTCCAAGACCACGTATTTCTTTTCAGATTGCAAGGGGAAAGATGTAGACTTTATTCTTCCCCTTCACAGAGACAACTGAAAGAATTAAAAATGTGTGCTGGCTTCACATGTGCTTCACGTGTGCTGGGTGACTTTACTTACTCCTGATATTTGATAGACAAACATATCTTTTAAGTTCATTGTATATATTAATTAATGGCAGCACAGAGAAAGGGAAGTGTCAGAACTTGGTTGATCTCTCTATCCAGTATGTTTAACACTTAAGAGTTGGTATCACTGAGTCTATTGCCATATTTCCATTCTGCCTTCTGCTTATTTCGGAATTTTATCCATGAGATAGATCTTTATGATTCTTAGCAAATGGTACTACCTGCAGGCTTGTCATCTAGGGAAAAAAAAAAAAATCTGTTAAAAATAAAAAATAAAATCATTGGTTGGATGGACAGAAATTTAATGCTTATCCTTAAAAAAAGGCATCTTATTCTACTTGACAAGATAAGTAACAATGGAAATACCAATTTACAGAGAAGCAGTTCTTTGGCTGAGAGCAACTTATTGTGGTGCTTTCAAAATATTGCACTTTCTACAAAGCATAAGAGCATCAAGGGAAACCCCTCCTCAGCTTTCTTTTTAAAATATTTTAAATCTAAGTATTTTAAATATTGAGTATTTAAAGTTGATATTTTTTTAAGTCACATTTCTTTCCTTAGAAAGACGATGAGTAATACATGTAACAGAAAAAATAACAAATAATCAGGGAAAAATAAACAAGCAAAGATGTCATTGGGTGCAGTGAGAGTACATGGTGAGAGATCATTCCGACAGCAAATGATTTACAGTGCATATATTAGCATGGTCTGATGGTATGACACAGTAGTGTGTCATACATGTATGTTTTTCATTTGTTCCATGCTAATCTGAGTGGTATCTGACACCTTTGTGAAAGATTCTATAATTTGAAAACCTTTATATTTGCAAAATATGGAAGTTTTTATGTTTTTACTCTTGAGCTATCCCAAGCATATTAATGTCTTGTTTGAGACAATCAGTCATTTATAGTAGTTAACCTAGATTTTCTATTCACTATTTCTCTTCTCTGTGTTTTAGAAAATTTTCTCAATATTTAATGGATTGGGTCAGATTAATTTATATGCAGAGCCTGTTTTAAATAATAAAGAGAATCGATAAAATCTTAATGAAGTGAATTGTATTCTGAAAGAACTTCTGGTGTGTGTTGGTTGAGTGAATCCTTGTGGATTTTCAGTTATTTTCCATGCTTCTTACAATATGTGAAGCAGCAGCAAAGGATATGCCGTGTTGTTTCTTTTTGCCTTGTTTTGATTTTGTAGTAAATCTTTAATTATAAATTGTCTTGAATTGGCATCACTCTGTGTCATTCTTTTTTAAGAAGCAAGAAGCAGTTGTGATCTGAAGAAATAATATTTTAAAATTGAAGTACTGTTTTTTTCAGTGTTATAAATTAATTGCCGATTTCAACCTGTATGTTTGAAGTGGCTTATCTCAGCTCAGAATAAAATTTATTAATCAAAAAACATTAGAATCAACACATTTTTGCCAATGAGAAACAAGCATATTTATTCTGGTTGCATAAAATTCTGGACTTCTGGAGGTGATTAAGTCATCGAAGGCAGTTTCAGCCTCCCCTTGGTTTCTGAAGCATCTCCCGCACAGGAAGCTGTTGAGATGCTTGAAAAAGTGATAGTTGGTGGGTGAGAGGTCTGATGAGTACGGTGGATGAGGCAGAGTTTCGTAGCCCAGCTCGCTCAACCGTTGCAGCATTGAAAGTGCAACATGTGGCCATGCGTTATCATGGAGAAGGATTGGACCCTTTCTGTTGACCAGTGCTGGGCACAGCCGTTGAAGTTTCTGGTGCATTTCACTGATTTGCTGGGCATCCTTCTCCACCATCATCGTTTCACCCAGATTCAGGAAGCTGTGATGGATTAAACCATGAGCAGACCACCAGACAGTCAGCATGACCTTTTTTTGGTGCAGATTCGGCTTTGGGAAGTGCTGCGGAGCTTCATTGCGGTCCAACCACTGAGCTGATCATCACCGGTTATCATAGAGCATCCATTTCTCATCGCACATCACAATACGGTCAAGAAACGGGTTGTTCTGGTTGTGAAAAAGAAGCGCCGACGACACTTCAAAACTGCGATTTCATTGTGATTCTCATTCAGTTCGTGCGGCACCCATTTGTTGAGCTTCTTCGACTTTCCAATCTTCTTCAGATTCTCAGAAACAGTTGATATGCTTACTCCGAGTTCTTCTGCAAGTTCTCAAACAGTTGTGCGTATATCTGCTTCCACCAGAGCCTTCAATTCATCATCGTCAATAGCAGAAGGACATCCGCGACCTTCTTGATCTTCAAGGTCAAAATCACCACATCAGAATTTTTGGAACCAAAGTTGCACTGTCCGTTAACACTTCCCTGGCCATATACCTCATTGTTGTTTCAAGCAGCTTGCGCTGCATTACGTCCAAGTTTGAACTCATAGAAGTAGATCTGTCAAAATTGCTGTTTTGACATCAGAACTTCAAACCTCCAAAATTTGTCAAAAACGCAGTTTATATTATACAGCGTGAAAGTTCATAACATGAGCTTTTCAAAAATAAATAACAGTACACCGGTCGAGAAGGTACTATTCCTGAAACATACACAATGAAAATCACATTACAAAATGGAAATTAATTTCTGAACAGCCTATAATTGATGCTGAGAATTACCAATAAGCTTACATCGCTATATAGCAAATAACACAATAGCAGTCATCTAATGCCTTGTAACCATGGAAATGGCCTAAAAATGCAGTCTAAAAGTTTTGAATAAATACTTGTACATAATGATACCTACATTCACAGGAATGGTGAATCTCAAAATCTTTTCTCTTAAAGAAATTTCCTAAGTAATGTTTATCATTTTTCACCAGATAAGGAGGCAAAGCATGTTGAAGACATGTGGCAGTTTGAGTAACTCATATTAAAAGTCTTGGGAAAGAACAGCTGAGCACATACATACATACTGAGTTTTGGACCTCTGCCTGTGGAGCTGGCCTGTTACTCATCTCACCAGCTAACAGTGCTGTTTCCTTGTTCCCTTGAGCTTCTGACATTTATGGCACTAGCTTCTGACACTACTGTTGCTTTCAAGTGTCTGTCAGATTTATTGGTTTTAGGGGTGGACTATTCTTCACACTGGAGCACAGACAAGAAGTTCTGCAGTTTCAGACTGAACTACTAGCCTGCAGCTTGCTGACTTGAAGGCTTTTCTGCTCTGATTTTTCTTTATACTGTTTTTGACTGGTGAGGGGTAATTGTTTGGCAATGAATCCTGCCTGCTTCCCTCCTGTTTGTGGTTATTCTTCAAAGTTGATTACTTTTTGTTACCAGGACACACACCTATGTTTCAAACAGAAGTAAATTAATTTTAAAGGCTGTGTTCTGAGAAGAGCTTTCACATTACTTTCAAGTTCTCAAGGCTTTTTAAACTCAAAAAGTGCATGAGGACATCTCTTCCTCCATTTCCTTAGGGCATGTATTGCTGTGGCAAGTGATTGTTGAGTTTGTGTTTCTTTGTTGTTGTTGTTGCTGTTTATATGTGACTAGGCAATATGATTAATTTCTAACCTTGCTGTCTAACTATTTTATTTATACTTTTTCTAGCATCATTTTACCTCTTTAACAGAATGGGTTGAGTCTTTCTAGAAGATTGCTGGAAAGATTTCTGAACTGCAGGGTAAAAATTGGGAATTAAAATAACAAGAATGGTAAATATTTAGGTTTCTTGGCTAAAATCACAGGGTAGCCAGAAGTTTTAATGCAAACTTTTTGTGTGCTGTGCCTTGAGTAACCATGGTTCCTGATGGTGCAGGAACTGTAATTCCTACTTAAGGAGTTGGTTATGTGTATCTTTAACTTTGGCTGAAGATATTTATTGTCTCACTGCTAGATATGGTGTTAAAGTAGGAAACAACAACTGCTTCTGCTATTCTGAAAGTTTTAATTGACCCCATAAATATATTTCAAAGTCAGTGAAATATAATGGGCAACATTCTTTATGTGCATGTTTTTTCAGCAAGAAATTTTGGTGTTTGGTTTGCTTCAGTATTTGAATTCTTTATCTTTTGATGTGCTACCTGTACTGTAAAATTCAAAATGCTCTAAAAGCTGATTGGATTAAGTATATCTGTAAAAGTGCTATACAAAACTGGTACTGAAGAAGCAGACCTCCATTTTGAGAACTGAAAAAGATCATTTAAGAATAAAGGAACATTAGTAATAGTCTCTCCATAAAATAATTTTGTCAATGGCAAATAAAATCCTCTTCAGCAAAACGAGATTTTATCTACTTCTAGTTTATTAGCATAGGGAGCAGCAGGTTGATTTGAGACAAAGTAGGGAAGCAGAGATGGGAACACTACTTAAAATGCTCCTTCCCAGTCCCTGAACAGAAACAAGGTAGGCTTAGATTTTGCATAAATCTAGATTATTTTCTTTTGCAAGTAAGATATCCGCACAGCTTTCCCTCTTATTTTAAGAGAAATGGAGATTAAACCTGATAGAATTTTTGAGGATGTCTAATTGTGAAAGTTTTAATGAAGTATTCCCCCGTTTGTTGCATCTTGCTACTCAGCCTGTGACCTCCTAAGCCTCAGAAAGTTTGCAAACTGATTATAGCATGTTTTAAGACAGTCTCATTTATGAAACATTACTGAGCTTTTGAATGTGGTGTATGGTCACCTATAGTGAAATTAAAAATTTTGTTTCTGCTTAACACTTGCATACTAACTTGCCTTTCTTATTGCCTTTAAATGTTACAAAGCTATGCTGAATTTTCTGTGAACTATATTAACTAGAGAGCTACTAGCTACTGTTTAGAGAAAAGGTGAGGCTGACAATGAAGGAAAGACTTGGAAACAAATGCAACCTTTCTGTTTTGTTAAGTAGCTGTGCCACCAAGATGGTGTAGGCTGTGGATTATTTTGAAAACAAAGAAATTAGAAGAATTAAGCCTTCTCTGTGTTCTGGCGTCCACTGGTGTATACTTGCTGTGGTATTGACTTTATCTTTCCGTGTTGGAGATGGTAATGGCTTGTGGCAGACAGCTGTATCTGTAAAGGCACCAAATGATGCATTTGGAATAGTTGTGAAGGAAGAAAGGTCAGGGTGAAATAGTCTGTGTCCAAAGAAATAGAAAACCATAGCATTCCAAAACCAGAATATCCCAAAAGAAATAGAAAATGACAGAATTCACAATATTAGTTATTCTTAAGATGCTTATAAGAATCTTGTGCTATATTCATTAAATGCTAATATACTGTTTCCTTTCTTAAAATACATTAGAATAAAATAGCATGAATTTGGTTGATTGTGGATAAGATGATAGGTTGGGGGGGGGAGATTACTGATAATATATAAAGACAGCTGTTGAACAGCCAGGATGCCATTCTTTGAATCTAAAGCAAGCTGTATTCACATCTGGAAGAGGGAAGCATTGCAGTACCCTGAGCAGATCAGGTCTAGTCTGTGGTCGTCCTTGACTGAGGTAGCAGCTGTTAGACATATTTTTTTAAAAAAGCTTTGTTTACTGAGATTATCAATAAAAAAATTTCGTAGCTGAATATGGGAGAAGTTGCTGTGGATATGCCAATGGATGTAGATGGCCTCAGAGGCAAGGGGCTATAAGGAATCAAATGGACTAAAAAAAAGAAAAAATGGACTGGAAAAGTACTTCTTTTTTGTCTACAGTACTATTCAATAATGCTTTTAATGTTTAAGAATATCAGGAGTCTATTTATGGTATCTTTTACTAAAAAAACATCTAAGTTAATTTTAAAAGGCAGATGTTGGTGATAATTTTGTTATGCAACACCCTGCAGAGCATAAGACAAGGCTGACTACAGAAGTAATGGTCATGTGTTCTGGGTGATATAAAATCTCATTTCTGCTATCCTCTCTCAACTCTTCATGTTGCATAAAGGCTCTATTTCTGATCAAGCTCTGTTTTATTTTTAGGAGGATAACATTGTGTTTAAAATGGAAGTTGACATAAACAGAGAGTCTAGAACTACCCTATCCACTCTCCCTGTGCCTCTTGCAGAGGTGAGTCCTGTGGGCAGGATGGAAGCAGAGAAGCCCCGCTGTTCCAGTACTCCCTGCTCACCAATACGACGGATGGTTGCAGGATATCAGATCCTCCACATGGATTCTAACTACCTGGTTGGCTTCACGACTGGAGAGGAGCTGCTAAAATTAGCCCAGAAGTGTACAGAAATTGAAATTGAAGAGAATAAAGGGGAATCTGGGTCGAACTTGTGCTCCAAGCAGCTTGATTCAGGACTTGCACGTTCCTCCCGTTTGTACAAAACTAGAAGTAGGTACTATCAGCCATATGAGATCCCAGCAGTAAATGGAAGGAGGAGGAGACGGATGCCCAGCTCAGGGGATAAATGCACTAAGGCTTTACCATATGAACCTTACAAGGCACTTCATGGTCCCCTGCCTGTTTGCCTTTTAAAAGGCAAAAGGGCTCATTCAAAATCACTGGACTACCTCAATTTAGACAAAATGAGCATTAAGGAACCTGCTGACACAGAAGTGCTACAATATCAGCTCCAGCACCTCACCCTTAGAGGGGACCGTATGTTTGCAAGAAATAACACATGAGCTATTATTTTGAACTTAGAACCAATTTCTGATTAATTTTCTGTTGCTGCAAAAATCCACTATTGTAATGTGTACATGACTGTCTACATTGTAGGTGGTTGTATCAGCTAAATGTTATCAGAAAGCAATTTATTTGAATAGAATCTTGACAATACAATATGTTACAAGTACTTGGAGGGAGAAATCTTTCCTGAGCAAGCAGCTTCTGGTGCAAATTTGACTGCAACTGATGAATATTTATTTGGATACCTTTTAACAAAAACCAAAAGCATTTGATTATTTTGATAACTTTTTTTTGTACAGTCAGATCTAGTACTTACAGTAACTGAAAAATTGGTAATGTCTGCTTTGTTGTTGATAATTTTGGCTTGATATTAGAAACTGCTCTTGGATAAGCACCCAAGTTTAGGAGGTTTCTTTGGTTTCACTATTTGTTCCTGTATTCTACAGTAAAATGTATGTATTACCTTTTTTTCTACATCATGGGGAGGAAAGTGATCGTGGCTAATGTGGATCACTTGCTATTTAAACAGTTCAAACATTTTCAAATTATGTTTGCAGTGATGATGAGGGTGAGTCACTCAAAACAAACCTTTGCTACTTGAATCAAATTATTTTTTAATTTTGGCATGGAATTAATTGCTTTGCCTCCTCTGTTCTATAAAATTTGTTCAAGATAAATATTTTTGTTATAAAAACAAATCCTTTGGGGAGTGATTTTTTTTTGTTAGTGGGATTTATTTTTTACATTGTCTTGACATACAAACCAAGGATTCACTGCAGATTCCAGTAAGTACACTGGAACGTCTGCAATGGTATGTCAGTACTGTTTTTTATTTTAATTCATTATTTATATCATGTATAGTAACAGAAGATGTCAAATAATTTCATCATTGCTTTAAAAATTCAGTTCATACGAAGCAATGAACTCTTTGAGATCTGGAAGGCTGATTTTTTTTCTAGTGGAGTGTGAGTAAAGTATTTCTGTATCAGCATTGAAGAGATGATCCTGGATTATTTAACAGAGTAGATTGAATACACTGGTTTACTTTTGTTACTTAAGAATTTTTTATCCGAACATTGCATCAAATACAGTTTTGACAGCTGTGTTCCTAGATATATTTAAAACATTTTAGTAAGTTACATTTAAAAATTAAACTAATTTTTAGACTTTTTTTAGGTGCAATCTTTTACTGAAGCAGTGTGCAGCTGGGTTTTTTATGATGATCTCTGCAGAAGTTAAAAATAAGATCACATTGTTTTGAAACATAAATTATTTTATCAGTTGTTCCTGGTAGAATTAAGATTTTTTTGTTTGTTTGTTCATCATGCAGAATGAACAGGAAGCACTAGTTATTGCATGTGCTCTGGAAAATGAAGGATTCTTCTAATTTTATCTTTTACTCCACAGTTGTAAATGAAGGCAACCCATTGTCTGCATTTTGCTGGTTTGGTTATCTTTTTTTAGGCTTATTAGAGTCTTTGCAACAAACTGATACGTAATTTTGAAAGTTAACTACACCTGTGTAAATTTAATGTATTGAACAATGATCCTGAAAGTAAAATCTTCCTATATAGTCTGTAGTTTGAAAAACAGAATATGATCAGATGGCAAAGAGATGGGGGGTTTGTTTAAGGAATAAACACCACTGTTTATTGAGTTACCCTATGAAACTGTGTTTCTGGCTGAAAAATAAAAAGGGTCATATAAACAACTGTTGTTGTGGAGTCTTTTGCTGTGTAGGAAAAAGATGACTTTTGAAAAATACAACTTTAGACCAGAGATCATTTAAAAACAACTTGAAAGCAGGAATCTTGGACTTCTGTGAAATAGATGCTTACATTTGTTACTTTGTTTCAGGAAACAGGCCATGTAATTACTGATATTTTGTGCATGTTTCTAGTGTCATCCAGTGCCCTAATTGTATAGCTACAGTAGAGAGTTTGATGGCTGTCTGGCCAAGTTAAGCGTAAAAATGTGCTAATACATATGGTAATATTGTTTGCTTAATGTACACAATTGCAGATCTCATGGCATATCCTCATTCAAGAGCCCAATGTTGGCAAGTCTGGTTTGTAATGTTCTTTACCAGAACTTCTACATCCACAAGAAGTTCCTGGTTTTACCTCTACATTAAGCAAAATCTCAACCAAATTAAAGCTTTTGATCTTGTCTTATTTTTGCTGCTTATAATGCCTTCCATTAAACTAGTCTATTAAAATCAAAGACAGATAGTTTGACTACTAAAATGAAATTGAATGTGAACAATACTGACCTTTCAAAGTGAGTTCTTGCTGTTCCTGTAATAAGTTAAAAGGAAAAAAAAAAAAACACTATCAAAAAATAATGTTTCCTTCTCAGTTTTAGGTATCTTTCAGAGGATTAAAAGAGTGAAGGTAGATATGATACAGTGTAGTAACACAAATATTCCATTTAACAGACCATTAATACCAAAGCAGATCTGGAATCAAATGCAAATGTGTAAGCTTGGATATTGAGGCAGATCTTAAATTCAGGCATGCTGCTGGCATTTTTTAAAAAAAATATACCAAAAAAGGATTGGTATGAAATCCATTCTTAGTTTCAGTGTGGGGTTGTTTGTTTTTTGGTGGGTTTTTTTTTCATTTCAGGTATAAACTTGTAACTACTACTCCTGTCCTGCTTTGTTATGGTTTGTATTTATAGCTGCACATGGAACCTAACTGACCTTATGGTTTCCTTTACTTTCTCTTTGTCCATCCATTGTGCTCTGATTTACACTTGGTTCTCGTATGTGATGATCTCTCTTGTTGAGCATTACTTTGGCGGGAATTGTTAATTGCAGACTAGGGCTACTAGTCAATATTGCAAAATAATTAACAGACAAGCTTTTTGAATTTTCTAAAACTTTTCTCCTGAATGTGTGGGTTTTGTTGTTTGGTTTGTTTTTTTCACTGCTGGGAAGAATAGAAGGATGCAGAAAGTTTATTTTTAAACTGCTGAAAATGCAGATGTTGCTGTCTGGACATGCAAAAAGGTTCTTGGTAATTCAAGGCTTGGAGCATAAGTAATTCCATTATTTTGTGAGCTAATAAGAGAAGAGGACAAGTGTAATTTTTAAGAAATACAAGAGAAGATCAGAAAGGCTATAAGCTGCATAAAAACCTTCCAAAATCTACAGTATCTGCAGAAATATTAACTGATTAGTTTCTGTAAACCTGGGTGGTGTCAGGCTGTATAATTTCCTTTTGAAGAAATGAAAAAGCTATCCAGAACACAAAACTGTGGTCTGAAAAAGTCCAAGTGGGTTTCAAAGTATGTTTTAATTTGGTAAAACATGGGATTCAGTTAAAAAAAAAAAAAAAAGAGTCTTAAGGTGAATACTAAGCTAATGTCAAGTTTTCAAATGAAAGTTTGTCATAGTAGGAAGGGAAATACTACCTGTAATATTGACTATAAGCAAGGAACTGTTAATGGATAAGATTTTTGTTTCTAACACTGTAATTGTTGTTTCTAACTCTTTCAATGGTAACAAAGAATCTGAAACAGAAATTGTCCAACATAATAAAACTCATGTGTTTGGGAGGGTGGTCTGGCTAAAGTCAGTTATTCGTGTTAAACTTAATTTTAAAGAGGAATGTGTGCTAAAAAAAAAAACAAAACAAAACAAACCACTAGAAAAAAAATTATCTTCAGTGGGAATATAAACAGTGATTTGATCTTTTAATTAGGACATAAGTTTCAGAATGGGTGATTACACTGAACAGTGTAAGACTGGCAAAAATGTGTCTGATAGACAGATCCTCAGAAGAACACAATAATGTTTGGATTATTGATTTTTATTTGTCTGTATCATACCACACTTTTTAGCCAGAGACTTTTCACGTCCTTCAGACAGATTATGGGGTTTTTTTTCCCCATAATAGTTTTATATTTTTTCATTCCATCAGAAAAGCACTTGAAAGATCAAACTGTATCTTCAGGCCTACAGAATATGGAAATCTTCCTTTTTTGGAAGGAGCAATATGTCTCCCTAGTTGTCTACAGTGCTTGCTTCTGATCTTGTAAAAGCTAGATAACATTGTTAAATGATACTTAAGCACAGAAATCTTTCTGGGATCTGCTTCTGTAGGTGTTTTCTTCTGACTCTTAACAGTGTGTGCAGCTTGGAAGAGTATAGGCTGTTAGATGCCAATAGTTGACCTGCAAAGCATCACAGATTCGTTTAAAAAAAAAAAAAAAAAAATTTCCTTGCATCAAAGTGATGACTTCTGTCAATCAACAACCCCTTTACTTACCTCCTCTATAATGTAAGGATCATTCTTAATGATGCTACTCCCTCAGAAGTTGTCTTTTGTTTCTGCATTTGGCTATTTCTGAATGGTAGTAGTTAAGATACAGTGCTGCTGCTACAGTGGTGTAAGCACTAAACCTAGTCTTGTACATTTTAGTGGTATGGCTCCAGGGAGGGAACATTACCGTAACATTTAAATAGCCAGTCTGTCTTACATCCTTAACTTACTCTTACCCTTAGTAGTGTGGTGCTAGAGATTGATATCAAGGCAAAGAGGAGCCATCTAGGCCACATTAGAAGACCTGAGGAAAGAAGACTCTCAGTCTGGGGGGGAAAATCCAGAATCAGCTGATTTGCACTGAAAACAAAAGGGAAGGTAAGGATATAAACTGACTATATTCCATCAACTTTTAGGAGACAGTTGTTTAAACTTACCTATCAAAGTCTGAGCTGGAGTGAAAATAGGGGGAGAACAAAGGAGAACTTTGCACAGTGCTTTTATTTTTGTGAAGTGTGGGAGAGCAGAAAGAATTCACCAGAATATATCAGGGGAAAGGCTGGAGAAAAATAAAAAACCTCAGGGGGTAGTGCTGCAAGAATGAAATAGTGTATGGTTTCAGAATCAAAACAAGCAAGGACATGGAAGGAGGTGGTATGCTGGTCTCAATTCTCTCTAGAAAGCAATTGTCTGTATGGAAGATTGAGGGTGATGGGACATTTTAGCAAAATGCTGTGATCAGAGCTGGGCTGTAGTGAAGGTAGAAAGTAGGAGCTTGAGGCTGTCTGTGTATGCTTTCATACTCCTAAGCTTATATGAAATTTAGAAGAGAGTTCTGAGGGAATATAATAAAAGTCTTGATGCCATTTGAGTATGGTCTGAATTAAAATCCTGTGGTGTTCCCGTGATACTCTGCAGCTTTACTCAGTGACAGTAGGTAGATGGTACAATTTCATAGTTCTTTGACAAAGCAAAGTGTAAGAAGCTATGGGAGCAAAAAGAAAGCTTTTGTCTGTTATGTTTCTTTATTATTATTTTCAGTAAAAAATAAAATGCTGATATAAATACCAACTATGATGTCTGGTGGTATTATTACTCCATTTCATTTTGCCATTTTGCTAGACTTTTGCCTGCTGAAACTTCTGGTGGCCTGTGCTTTCTGTGAAAATGAAGGAGACACAGGTGCTAAAATATGCAAGAACTTTGAGAACAGCAATAACAACTTGAACCCTTTGAAAAATGGAGCAAGTCATAATTTGATGTAGTGCTTTACATTAACCTATTTTTCAGAAACTCAATGTTGAAAAAAGTGTTAGGTGCTGAGATGCTTTTAGAAATAGGCCAGTAATATTGCAGTATAGAGCTTCACAGTGAAAACTATAGTCTGCACATGGATAAAACTACAGAGGAATCATTGAGTCCAACCGTAAACCTAACACTCCATCCATCACTAAACCATGTCCAAAAACATATCTTTTAAATACCTCCAGGGATGGTGACTCAACCACTTTCCTGGGCAGCCTGTTGCAATGTTTGATAACCCTTTTCATGAAAAAATTTTTCTTATTATCTAATCTAAACCTCCCCTGGTGAAAACAGGTAATTTCCTCTCTTTCCTATCACTTGTCACTTGGGAAAAGAGATAAACACCCACCTGCCTACAATCTCCTTTCAGCTACTTGTAGAGAGCGATAAAGTCTCTTTAAACTGCCTTTTCTCCAAGATAAACAACCCCAGCTTTGTTGCTTTTCTTTGGACACAATTCAGCACCTTTATATCTTTCTTGTAGTGAAAGGCCCAAAACTTTAACACAGCATTTGAGGTGCGGCCTCACCAGTGCTGAGTACAGGGGGATGATCACTTCCCTAGTCCTGCTGGCCACACTATTTCTGATATGAGCCAGAATGCTGTTGGTTTTCTTGACCACTTGGCCACACTGCTGGCTCATATTCAGGTGGCTGTCAAACCAACACACCCAGGTCCTTTTCTGTCAGGCAGCTTTCCAGCCACTCTTCCCCAAGCTTATGGTGTTGTGTGGGGTTCTACTCACCCAAGTGCAAGACCCAACACTTAACCTTGTTGAACCTCATACATCCATCAATCTGGCCTGTTCAGATCTCTCTGTAGAGACTTTCTACGCTCAAGCAAGCCAAAACTCCCACACAACTTGGTCTCGTCTGCAGATTTACTACGGGTGCACCTGATCCCCTCATCCAAATTATTGATAAAGATATTAACTAGAACTGGCCCCAGTACTGAGCCCTGGGGAACACCACTTGTGACTAGCAGCCAACTAGAGTTAAATCCATTCACTGGTCCTCTTTGGACCCAGTCAGCCAGCCAGTTTTCTACCCAGCAAAGAGTACACCTGTCTAAGCAATGAGCAGTTTCTGCAGGAGAATGCTGTGAGACAGGATGCCAAAGGCTTTACTAAAGTCCAGGT